GATAAGTTGATATGGTTTTTTACATGTTGTATTGTTTTCTTTATTATTTCGTCTTCTTTTTCTTAATATATAATAGTTAATCAATTTTTGCTTCAGTTGTCTCTTTTATAATTTTTTTACTTTTTTTAAATTCAATTGCTTTCTTTTTTATTTGTTTACCAAAATGAGCTTCTTTATTCAAAATTGTGTCCGCTGTTTTTGGAGTGTTCGGCTGCCGCGAATTTTTCCACTCTTTGGTAGTATACATCATTTTCTTATTCTTTCATTCTTATTGTAAATGCTCTTCTTATTTGTCCAATGTATAAATTCATAGACACATAGTGTTAACATTTTTAGTTGGTCATCACCGTGTCGTCTCTATATCGTAGCCATACGTTTGGTTTTTGACCATATGACATGGATATATCTATAAATATTTTATATAATAGCAATATCTTCAATATACAATGTTATATAATTATACAGGTTTTCAAAAAGTAAGGAAACGGCCAGTTGTTACAAACAATAAGAACCCGTCTCCTTACTTTGTGAACACTATAAGAAGATATCAAAAATTGTATAGACCTTTACATAAATATTTGTGGCCATTTTCTGTGAATTTATTAAAAAAATATTTTTTAGTATTCGATGTTATGAGTTTGGTTGATATAGTACTCAAATATTATAACTAGTGGTGTACGTGTTTTTTTTTTTTTTTTAAAGAGAAGAATTAAAACCTTTTTATTTTTTGCTTATTAGTAATAAACAGAATTACATAACCTTACTAGTGCCAAAGTCAAATACAGTTAATAGCTATAATTAGACAAAGGAAGGGGCTATAGACCCTTCAGCCCGCCTCTTGAGTACAACACTGACTGTAACTGAATTTTAAATCTCGTTTGAATCTCGAGTTATTTATTAAAAAACGAGAAAAAATTAGTGCATTGTAAGTATAAATTGGGTTCTATAGCTCTATAAATTAAAAATTAATGATGATACATGAAATATAATAATTCAAACATTTTTTCAATTTCATAATATATGTAGAATTGTGCTATATCATTTATTTTTAAATACATTTAATTTTAGAAAAGATAACTTTTTTTTTAAAAGTTGTTATAATATAAAAATTTTGAGCTTTTCACATTTTTTTTAATGTTAACAGCAATTATTTCAGCGTCTAGATATGATAGAAACATAAAAATTACATTTTAAAATCCTTATTCAATAATATAAATTATAAATATCAGCCATTGAAAATGTATTATTATAGGTTTAAACAAAACAAAGTTGTAAGGAAATGTTCAGTTCAGCTTTGAATTTTTGTAAAATTACCGTCATAACCAATTTTGAATGCCATATGTAGTGTTTTTGTTTACTAAAATAATCCGCTGTCGATAATTAGCTGCCACACCCTGGCCCCGCAGATGACACAGCGCCCTGATATCAAACTAATTTTGACATTTCTCCCTGATCGCAATGTATGATTACTACGATCTAAATAACCCCAAATTTGCATTTTTTGATTTAACCTTCTTGCCCAAACATCACAGAGTTATATATTTGTCAGAATAACTTTAGAATTGTTTATACACAATGTACGGAAATAATTAATTTTGACCTTTTTTCGCCAAAAAATTATTGAAATACTGTATTATTCAATAATTTACTCGTGATAAATAATTATTTATCACGAGTTTTAATTAAATATAATTAATTAAAATGTTTTTTTCCTTTGATTATGACTGTATTTATTCACAGGTTACTGTAATTATTTTCTACGACATAGAAATTTACCAAGGTTAGTAAAAATAGTGTAGTGGTTTAATCTAAGGAAAGACTGACCATGATTGAAGAACTTAAATTTCTATCATGTAAGTTTTAAAAACTCTTTCGCATTTATGTAGAATTATTTTATATTACATAAGTGTTTTCAAAAAATCGTGACCCTAACTTACCCTATTTATCTCTTATTATTTAATCAATAACTTTACAACTCTGAAACCAAAAATATTCAAATATTCAATATATGATTAAACTTTAAATTTTTATTGATAATATTTAGGAATTAAGATAGCATTACCATAGGTTAAAAAAAGAAAAAAAAATGTTATTATTTTAAAACTAGAAGAAAACTTTTCTCTCAATTAATATACGGCATACACACTCGTGCATAGTTTGGTACTATATAACAAAATATTATATCATCTGAACGATAATACATTATTATAATAGGACATTAATTTTTTCTTAGCTTTCGACTTTAATCTAAAAACGAAGTCGCCAATACTTTTTAAACATAAAAAGAACTCGACGATTATTCATTGAAATTTTATATTTTATCTTTATATAAATGCATATTGAAAGAGATGTTTGCCAGCGTCAAATCTAAAATTTAGATTTATTTTCTTGACAACAACAGCAGCATTGTGTCTGCTTAGGCGTTCGAGATCTTTTTCTCGTCGACGTCTGTTCGAACAGCTCAAGTCGTTGATTTTTCTGGTTGCCGTCACCTCTGCTGATTGCTGTATAACAATCCATTGGACGGCATTCGGATTCGTGACCGAACGTAGACGTTTTTTCTTCTGCAGCAATAGATGAATACGAAGTTCCCGCGTCCAGGGTGATCTTACTGAACTTGTCGGCCACGTCGCCTATGCCAGGCATCAATGATCCCACACCCAAAGGCCCCATCTCCACCACCGTATTCTTATAGGGCATATCGTTTACTTCGGCTGGAATATGCACTCTAAACGCTGGAGACCTTGTGTTTTTGCTGCGGTTATCGCAGAGGTCGTGATGGCCTTTTGATTTTAACGGCATACTCTTGTGCATTGTACCCGATGGAAATGCAGTACAGGCAATCGGATCTGCAGAAGTGATATTAACTCTATAAGTATTTAAATATGCGTATTATTTCGGAGGACTATTGACAAGAACAAATAATATTGAATATTGACAAAATACAGGCTTTCGTTTCCACGCGATGATCGCTATGGTATATAAATTTACTTTTTTTTATACTATTCACTATATGTAAAAATATATATTATTTATACGCCTTATTGTCATAATATTATGAACTGTCGAAATGATCTATTCGACAAACCGTAACAATGTTGCGCCGAATAATATCGTTGCGATTTAAAAACAAAATATTTAAATATGATTTAGAAAATCATTCAAATTATTGATCAAAATCATGAAATAAAACATTTATACTGCGGCCACCATTGATTCCTCCATCGCGGTTACGGAATAACATTTACATACGTTTATTAATGTTCGTGTATATATTTATTTATGTATTTATAACAAGACGATAGTTGTGAAGATTCAATGTTAGCTCTCTCATAGAACATCGATGGCAAACATTAAATCTGTTTACAGTTTTCCTTGTATGTACGAACATTTGCACTTATCGTAATGGCGAAAACGAAATTATTTTCATACAATATTTAATAACATTTTTCTTATTAATTAAACATTTTATAAGTGTCTGTTTTATAGGCGATTTTCTATAGAGTGTAACGCTACTATAAAATATAATATCCGGGAGGTATTAGCTCTGTTGGAAACTAAAAAGGTATTGGTTTTTTTATTTTAGTAAAGAATATAACAAAATTAACACAATGGTAAATTTATAAAAAATTTTAATGAGACATACGTAAAATATACTAATAATTGATTGATTTTTTAATTAACAACCATTTTGAAAAACAAAAATGCAAGAGAAAAAATTTAATTATCAACAGACATCATTGCCAGTAAACCTTCGTGATTAACCTTTTCAAGCACTTGGTATACTATCGTGTACTCATCATTATTATTTATTTTAATTTACAATTGTAATTTTAAAGTTAAATGAGTGTTTCCAATACCAAAATATGCTAAATTATATAAACAACAACACTAAAGAAAAATGTTATTCTAAAGTTGAAAGTTAAAAAATTTCTCTGAAAATCTTTTTTTGTTTACTCTAGGGTAACTCATCATTGAAAAAACAATTTTTAGTCGTAATGAATTAGCAAAACAGAAGTAACTGTCGGATTAGTAACGATAGATGGCAAAGGAACTGGTGGTCAGAAGGAGCTCTAGGCAGCAGTAAATAGTACTAAGTACTATTGGCCCTATAAAAAAATTAAGTTAAACCCGTTAAATAGAGCATATATTGTCTGAGAAAAACGTTGTAGATAAATAAAGGCATTTAAACGAAACGCTTGAAAAGTCTGTATACTTGTATTATCGATAAGAGGTGAGGAGTGGTCAGCACTATCTACAACAGATAATACATATATCCTGTCGATAACTGAATGTCTAGCAAATCAGTTCTGCGACCCGTTTTACTGATGCATAAAAGCTTCCCAAGAAATTATTTGCTATTGCTATCAAACATTGTGTATTTGTAATGTTAATTTTGTATTATAATTTTACAATTTAAGGAAGTCCCGTGAAGATTAAATTATTAAAAATAAGAATATCAATTTAAACTAAAAATAAATATTATGCAACAAATTATGTTACTCTTTAAGTACTCTTAAATTTAAATAAAGATATTTTTCGTTAATTAAGTTAAATTAATTATAAAAAAATATTAATTTATTTTCTAAGAATTAAAAACATGATTCTAATAAGCTACAAAATAAGATATTTTAATTAATTAGATAACAAAAATTAAAAAATTGTTCAAGCAACCACTTTGTTATTTTTTAATCAGATATTTTCAAGTTATTAATACAATAGTATTAAGGATAGTATATTTTGATATCATTCACATAAGGTAATCAACTATCGGTAAACATTAAACATTAAGAAGTTTTAATAAATATTTAATTAGAAATAAACACATGAAATATTAAGACTTTTTTAGAAAACAAAATGATTTATTCATTAGAAAAAAAAATTACACAATAAACAATTATTATGGTAATAACAAGAGTATCATGTGTTTATTTATATTATTGTTTGCTATATTAGCACTAGGTTATTAAATTAAAGCTATTAGTTAAAAAAATATAAAACATTTTTTAATAGTATATATTTCAACAAATTCATGTATAAATATTTCAAATAATCTTAATAATTTTAGGACATAAATATAGATGTTTTTGCAATATTTATCTGCATTGTACTTTACTTATTCAGTAATATTTTTTTCCTGAAATAAATAAAAAATTGTTATAAGTATTTTCATTTATTTTAATAATTAATCTAATAATTTTACATTAGGTTGCCATTGAAGGTAAGTATCTTTGGTAGCTTCCAAATATTCATCTACGAGATTTTGAACTACACATCTAGAATCATCCATTTCACACAAGTCATCTTTAAACATATTTTGTTTGCGGAATTGATCTAAAAATGCTTCTCTATGTCTTAATTTATCATATTGATCTAAAACTCTTTGAAAAAGCTACAAAATAGAATACAGTTCATATTAAAATTTATTAAAAATAAATAACACACACATATATGTATATATATATAACAAAAAAATAAATAACCAATTTCAATAACAATTTATATTACTTGTGAAATACTAGTATGATTTGCTAACATAAGACCAGAAACACGATGAGCTGTGGGAACATATGGTGATTTTTTAGAAAGAGCAACTTGAATACTAGATGGTCCCCATTCAATAAACTGGACAGTCTTTCTTTCACGAATTCTTTGGAGAGATTTATATACTTGAGTAGGATCAACATCACCCTATAATTATTAAACATTTTTGTTTACATTATAACATCATTATATTAAATACTTTTTTCTCATTTTAATAGTCAGTAGAAAAATAATTTTTTGTACATAAATGACATTAAATTTATAAAAGATTTTTAAATGTTTCTAGTAATAGTGAAAATTCCATACAAAAAAAAATTTATTCAACTATGACCTGGCCTAGTTGGTTTCAACACACAGGGTTCTGGGTTTGATCCCCAAAGGCCAATGCGATTTTTCTTGTGTTTTCATTGAAGGTGTCACGTTTCTGGTGTTAACTGGCTATAATACCCATCCTGTCAATCATTGGCTTAGTCAAGAATCATCTTTGACCTTTTAATATATGAAAGATGGCAACCCACCCTCTGTAGCATGTTATGTTAGGGAAATAGAATGATGTAAAACTAATCTTTTTCATATTCAATTATGATCTCCAAATTTATACAAAATAATAGGAGCTAATCATTTTTTTGTACTTTAAGTAATAATATAAAATTTTTTACTTGTATGATATTTAAAATAGACAAGTAACAATGTGGTACTGATGTTCGTTCTTGAGCTGTAGATACCATCATATTTTTAGGTTGTAATAGTCTTCTCATTACATCAAACACAGTAGTTTTTCTAATATTAGCACCCTGTAAAAAATGCATGTATTGAAATTTATAATAAGAATAGGAAAATCTTGCATGACAGAACTGATTGAAATGTAAAAATTTATTATTCTTATCAAAGAATAAATTAAAAACATCAATTAAGAGATAACATCCTAACTAAATCTTATATACAATTTCATAAAAGTAGTATATTCTTTATTGAGTAAATAAAAAATATACTTTTATTTTCTATTTTTACTTTTGTCTACACTAGTTTTGTTATTGGAGAGAGATGAGTTATTTTTTATTTTAAGACAGCACATATGAAGATCAGTTGAAAAATTAAAGTATATACTGAAATGTGGAAATATTTTAGGCAAATACGACGAGTTTGAAGTCTCTCTATTGACATATATACAAATTTTTAATTGACTAGTTTTCATTTTTATGTCAGATTAAGTTTTTAAGAAATAATAATTACTTCATGATCAGATGTTAAGGGTGTGTAACCAGTCATAAGGAAGTGTAAACGTGGTGATGGAATCAGAGGGCCTATTAAACCTACCAAGTCATTATTCATATATGATGGATATCTGAAATAAAATTCAAATAATAATTAGGTACAATTTATTTAAAAATCATAAAAATTGACTGATTTACCTTAACGTGGCAGTGGACACAGACATAATAGTAGATACTAATGAATTAATTTGGGCAAACGATGGATTTTCTAAATGTAAACGATCAGTAGCAATTCGATTCAATGCTGTATTATCTAAAACTACAACACAATCTGCACTTTGAGCAAGTCGTTTTAAAGTTAGCAAAGAGTTATATGGTTGGACAACAACATCACTATCAATTAAAATTGAAAAAATTATCATTTAAAATTTGAAAATTATTAATATTTAAATTATACCTGATTTCATCTTGATTTGGAAAGACGCTGTATGTTTCAATTATTTTCTTAGGAAAACGATCAGTCAAATGTTCTAAAATATAAGATCCCATACCTGAACCAGTGCCACCTGCAATAGAATGACATAATACAAACCCTTGAAGACTATCAGCACCTTCAGATTCCCGATCTAATATATCAAAGACTTCTTCTTGTAATCTTTCTCCTTGGCTAAAACCTGATGCCCAATTATTACCAGCACCTCCTCCATGTTTGGATAAGTACACATTTTCAGGATTATAAAGCTTTAATAAACATCAAATAAATGAATTAAGTTAAATTAAGTTAAATTTATTAAATTTGAAATTTTTACTTTAGAGTAATTTGAGGTCATAATAGTATTAATAACACGGGGTTCCAAATCAAGCAAAACTGCTCTAGGAACATAATGATTATCATCTGCTTGATAAAAAAATACATCCTTGCGGTCACCTACACCTTCAGTAGCAAAGGGTTCTAAAACTCCTTCAGGATTAATACCATGTTCGGCACAAAGCTTCTTCCAAAATTCAAAACCAACTAATTGCATATTTATAACATTATGTAAACCATTGCATTATAATAACCAATTAATACAATGAAAAAAACATATTTAATAGAATAATATTAATATACTGATGTAATAATACATTTAGTTTCTTTCATCCACTTAGCTATTTTTTTATGTATAAGTTGATATATAATTTATTAAATTTGTTATATGTATAATTGTATATTAATATTTAAAAATATAATTAAAAAAAAAAACAAGTTATATAATATTCATTATATTTTTCTTTATCTTTTGTAGTTATTAATACAAGTTAATATGTGATTACTATCACACAATAATATCTTACTATGGTTTATTTAAAATTCTAATTGTTTTGTTATTACTTATTCTATTTTATAAATTGTATAGTAAATTTAAAATTATAATAATATATTTTAGTTATTATAATACATATATATATAAATAAAAATAATAAAAAAATGTTCACTAAACATTGTAGTATTAAAAATAATTAAACTGATATATAAACCAAATTGTCTAGGTTTATTACAAATAATATTACCTCTGAAGAATGATTTTAATCAAACGTCAAAATGTAATCCATCAATATAAAACTTTAAATATTTAATAGAAAAACTTATATGTAATTTACCAGAATTATTAACATTCTTCTACAATGAAAATTTATTTTGATATTTAAATAATGAAATTCTTACTTTGATTTCCACACTGGCCCAGTTGGACCGTTATCATTTCACAAGGCATTCTAAACAATAGTTATTATTGAAACATTAAAATAGAATAACAAATTTTTTTTATTAAATATTGCAATAAAGAAATCGTCATAAATTTTTTTCTAACAATTTTAATGAATAATTATTTTGGGAAAATGTAGGGATTATATGATTTCAGTAAGATAGTGAACGGTTTTATAATCAATACCATATGATAGTAACATAGAAAACAAACAGTAGAAATAGCGGGAATTTTAAATTGATAAGAGAGAAAACAGTGTTGTAAACTAAAAAAATTAATTAATTGTGAAAATAATTAAAATTACCAGTAGTTTCCATAGTTATAAGAAATTCTATTAGTTATTATTATATTTAATATTTAAAAATAAAAGTAAACTTTAATTAATTTAATTAAAATAACTAATTTACTTATACTACGCAATAATTTAAATGAAAAGTTCTAAAATTTATACTTACCGAATACTCATGGCATTGTCAAACAGCGTAAATTTAACAATTTTTGCTATTACGGCCATAGGTTCAAAGCGTGAACATAAGAGTAACAAAATACCTTAAGCCAATTCTATGTACCCGTACTAAATTTTATTTATGTAAACTTCTTCTTCTTCGTTTTCTTCGTCTTTGTTCCAACTACTTAAAGCCAGACACTCTCATCCTAAACTTCCACTGGACACAATCGTCCACATTATGTATGCACACGTTAGCTGTCCTCATGTCGTATTTAATAACATCCCTCCATCTCTCTTTTGGTCTTCTTCTACCTCTTCTTTCTTCAACATTTATTTCCATAATAGTTTTTACAGCTTCCGATTTCTCTCTCCTCATAACCAGATTAAACCATCCTAGTCTATTTTTTCTCATCTTATCTATGATTGACGCTATACCTATACTCCCTCTTATATGTTTGTTCTTTATTTTATCTTCTCTAGTCTATCCACTCATCTATTTAAACATTCTCATATTTTCTGTTAAACCCAACCACCCAACACTCTGAATCATACATCATATCTGGTCTCACTATAATCATATAGAACTTTCCTTTCACTCTCATTGGAATTCTCTTGTCGCATAACAGACCAGACGCTCTCTTCACTTCACCCACCTACACTTAATCCTGTGTCTTACATCCTTGTAAATACCACCGTTCTTTTGTATAACTGATCCTAAATACTTGAAACTTTCCAACATTCCTATCACGTCCTTGCTTATTGTCACTAATCTTATTTTTGTAATCAAATTTAAAAATAAAAAAATAACAATTTATACTAGGGATTTACCTACACAAGAAATTTTTTTTACTCCCTCTAAAATAAATATTTATCATATATTTATTTTCATCGTCCATTTCTTATATCCTTTTAAGAACGCTAATGAATTGTATAATAACAAACATACTATTACTAATATATTAAAGAACTTAAATGAATACTTCTTAGAGTTTTGTTTATTATTTTTAAAGCTATTAGTTTTTAATGTATTCTATATTTGTTGGATACACATCGATCGAATATGCTGTTAAGAAAATATGTTTTTGACTATTCATGTTATCGTTGTGTTACATCGAGTTGTTATCGGTTTTTTCTCTATGTTACCATTGTCGCAGTCAGCCATCTTAACGCTCTTCTGTTATAAGCTCTATGGCGTTTTGCGAGCCAGTAGTTTTGTATTCGCTTTACTGTAAAAAGAAAATATCACCTTTGCGATTATCTTACCCTGTGCGCTCAGTTTATCGCCTTAGTTGGGTCTATATATTTTCTGAGATACATCACAATACCGTTGACAGCATATTGTTCACTTTGGTCAGTTACTTGCATTCGACTTCAATTGTTCCTTTCAATATTCAACATTATCATCAGCCGTTTCATTTAGCAGATAAGTATAATGCTTGTTCATTTATTTTTCTAAGACTCCCTTGTATAATTTATTATTTGTTTATATCATCGCCTTAGTGGCATTAGTATTAAGTGTCCTATCCACTTCGGTGTATATAAGATTTTATATTTCTTATATAATACATTTAATTGTTATAATTATATCTTGTGAAATTTATTCTACATTCAAACATACAGTCCACTCACCTTATTCTTTATCCTCGACATAGCTAAAAATTTAAGACAAAACAAAACCACGAACGTTAACGAACCCGCGTGAATACCACCGGGCGCTACGTTCAAACAATATTTGAATTAAAATATAGAATACAATAATTATTGTACACTAAAACGCATCGTTTTAATGCAAATAAAAGTTAACTAGTAATTTTTTTATTTTATCATTAAGTTCTAAATTAGTAATCTAGTTTATTGATAAAAAATTCTCAGATACAATTTAAAGATAAAAGATAAATTATGCATGAAGTCGATTTTTCACAAACTAACTTGTAAAAGAAGTTATCTATTTTTAAAAGTAAAGGCGCATTTATAAATGCGCTTAATTAAGAATTTATTATAATTTTTTAGCACTGACTACTTTTTATCTACTTAACAAAATAACACAATTCTATTCAGCTCATTAATCATGATCAATCAATATTAACTTAATTTCTATCATAAATTTATACAAAATATTTATTATTAATTTAAAATATTCAGTAATATTTTATTTTACTAATGATCATGAATTTTTTGAAAATTGATATATGTAGGGGAGACAGGGTTAGTTGATAAAATCTTTACGGTATTTCCTCCTGTATCAATAATAATTCAGATAAAGCGATGAACATTACAAATAACTTCAAAAACAAACAGACTTTATTTTAAAAATTAATTTACTTTTAAATATTAACATTATTTATTTTATGGACATTAAAAATAAATGTGTCAACTGGGTAATTTGACATTATACTTAAAAATAAACTAGTTCTGAAAAAATGTTTTTATGAGTGAAATTTTATTTCAATAAACAGAATATTCCAATATTATTAATGCAATAATTTTATCACTTTTATTAAAAAACTAAATTGACAGTTTATTAAATAAATATTTTTTTTTTTTTTTTTACAACCGTTAGGTTAGTTAATACCATTGGTATATCCTGGGTAAATTTAAGTGCAGTGGTTTCCCGTTGCCATCTTCACTGGGAACATGGTGCTTTTTCGACACCGTAGAAGCGCACGCATGGTCACCCATCCGTTCACCTACAGTGATAGGCGCGGCTTAACACTAGAGTTTTGTCAACAACTAGTGTGACCACCGTGACACATCACGCCCCAAAAGTAATACTAAATTGATGGATTTATTCATAAAAACATTATTTAAGTTAACTTATATTAAAATTTAGGTTTTATAAGTAGACTTAGGTTTTTATGCTGAACTAAAATTAAAGATTTAAGTCTAACTTGTGTTTTTAACTAAATATTAAGATGCCCATGAACGTGTATTATTATGTCACATATGTTTTTGTTTTATTCAATTTAAAAAAAAATTATTTTTATGATAAAGTAGTAAAAAAATGCATATCTTATGCTTTGACTTGTTAGATAAAGTTAAAGTTATAGTATGTTATAGATATTTAGTAACTTTGAATATAAAAAATGTCCACGTCAAGAATAACAATTGAATGATATTTTAATCGTCGGTTAAGAGGAAATATGCAATTGAATTGTCTGAGTAATGTATTTAATGAGAAGTACCATAAATATTCACATATTTAGAGCCAAATAGAATGGAGATATTTATTTTGTAAGAGATCATAAATAGCGTTTTATTATTTCAAATTGTTGTTTTCCCTTGTATTTTTCCGTTCATCTGGTAAGCCCAGTTTGGATTGGAGTATATAAAATAGTGCAAGAACAGTTATAATAGTAAAGTGAAGGTTGGCTACTTGTGCCATCCGTTTTTTTTTGTCCGTTTATTTTATGAGCTTGGTCGGAAGTGCTAACTTGGATCGGCAGTTGTTTTTTTTTTTTATTTGCTGTTATTTATTTCGATTATGCATTTTGCATCACTTCCGCTCTAGACCCCACAAACAAGGCACAGACAAATAAATGTTTTTCTTTAACATAAAAATCGATGCAATAGCCATTAAATTAATGTACTATAAACGTAAAAATATATAATTAAATTTTATGAAAAATAAATATAAATATGCGTAGGTAGTTTTTACCAACACCAATTGGTGTTGATAAAAATTATTGGTAACAATTAATAATTTATTGTTGTAACATGAGTTGTAACACAAATAGGAAACCATATTATTGTAACAATTTTAGAATACCTTTGAAACTTAAGAATTGATTATATCCAACCACTGAAATATGTTAAAAATATTGTTTTGATAGTGATCAAATTACGTAAAAAAAATAGTCATGGTAAAAATGTCTTTTTAAAAAATTGGTAATAATATGCACCACTTAATTAAAAAGATTATTTAAAACGTTTTGTCGAGTATTTAGAACTCGACCTTAAACAGAGTACTAAGTTTAAGAATTTCTTTAGATAAATTCGTTTTTAAAATAATTATTTTGGAGCAATACTTTTATATATTATTTAACATTTTTTTAAATCAAAAATTTTTTGTAAAAATATTTGAAATTATTTATTATGATAACTGTAAAAACTTACGTAGATTGATAGTTTCTATCAGAATAAATAAGTTGAACAAATATCCAGCTCTTTTCAAAATTTATACACAGTATTATGAGTCCTTTGAGTAATAAATTCAGCCATGTTCTTAATACAAATATCAAAAAAAAATTTAATAGATAATAGAGAAAAACTGACTTGCTTGTGTTAGAGTTTTTGCAGCGCAAATATAAATCACACAAAGATGCAAAGACCGCAGTTTTTTATTGCAACGCTTATGTGAGGATTGTAGTATTCAGGAATTGGAGATTTATTTTTTTCTCGTACAACATTAAAGTACTAACAACGTTACTAAATTACACAAAAAAATTGTTTATAGATTAGCAATTATGACATAAATATAGTATTTTCATCATGCTTACGCGGTGTTTACGTGAAAAAGTTGCTGTCATCTAATATTGTACGCTAATTATAAATGTAGTGCACAATTTGCATTTAACATTAATATTATTGATTGTGATAGTTTGAATAATTTATTTTTATGTTTATCTGAGTTATAAATTTGAAGAGAGTACAAAAAATAAAAACTTATCGAAGAAGATATCGTTTGCGAGTTTGCCAAAACTATTGTTGTATTACATTTACTATTAGTTTCTTTTGTCGTGTAAGTTTACTAAAGCATTTAATCCTCCTCTTTTTCACTTACGGTTGTCTCAAGTTTAAACTATTATCGAGTGCTAATACTTATAAAAATAAATTTTGGTTTCTTTTTAAAATTATTGCATTATCTTCATAGAAACAGATACTACTAAGTTACTGTAAGTTCTATATTTTACTTCTTTTTAAAAACTCAAAAAAACCTAAAACAACAAAAAAATTATTTGAAATATTAAAGGATTAAAACACAAATAATTTTCCCTTGAAAAATATGAAATTACATTTTAAACTTACGCTAAATAAAGGTCGGGAAGAGCTTGCAAAATGTTTGGTAATCTAAATCCACTTATATTTTATGCATATGATTTTAACAATACAACTGCTTCTTTTACAATTATGTAGTGTAACATTTTATTGAAGTAGAAGGAAGAATGATTATATCAGAAAAAAAATTACTAACAGATTTTTTCATTTTATTCTTTTCTATACATAATAATTAATATTTAAGGTCATTATTTATCATACAACAATATAAATACTACATTTTTATCAAAGCACATAGTATATAGCAAGGTAACAACGCTAAAATCCTAAAACTAATAATATGTTTCATTAATTGTTATTATACTTCGTGTAAATGTAAGGTTTGGAGTACGAATATTATTTAATTTTATATAGTAAAAAAAATATTTAATAAATAAGTTATTCATTGGGGATAATAAAAAAAGCTTCAATATCACAATATTAGCAAATTTTTTTTACTTATTTATTATAATAATTATAATGTTTATAACACTTTGGGCTATTATGTAACGTTTACAATTATAAAAAACAATATATTTCTACACGAAGAAAAATAAATTTAACAATTTTTCTAGATATATTTTTTTTTTGTAAATGAAATGTTGTCTATTACGAATATTTAATTTTTTTCTAATTAATCCCTTTAAATTTGATACGAATTAAGTCGATATTATTAACGTTTCTCTACTCTCGATCAGTCTCTGATTAGATCACGCCTAAATAAAAACATGTCTTTTTCATAATTAAGATTTTCGAAAATATCCTCAAGGATTGAGTTAAAAAAAACATTCGTTATTGTTTCTTCTAAAGATTTTCCGATATGAATAAAATCGAACCAATAACAATTCGTTATCAATAAAGATTATTATAAAATAAATAAATAAAGTTTCATAACGTCAAAAAATAAAAAAATAAAGGGATAACGAATTGGAAGATATGTATACACAAAAACGTTGGTAAACTACAGTATTCTTATAGTTCTACACTTTTTAGAACGTTTACAAGTAAAAAGCGCCGATAGGTAAATCAATATAAATTTCATTATGATTATTACGATTATTGTAAAAGCGGTTAGTAGAAATAAAATGTTCATTGCAAAGCATTTGTTGGTTTTTGTTGAAATGAAAAATTATTGTAGCCCACTCAAGTTTTTATCGTAAAGACTATTCATCATACATTAAATAATAAACAATATTGCCAAACGATAGCTGTGGTGGACAGTTAAAGATTATGCCTTAGATCCTAAATTTAAAAAAACTCATGACACAGAAACGTCAAAACGATGAAAAAGATAATTGATTAATTGAATTTCATTCGCACCATCTTATATTTTTGCGGGTTTACTCGGTATTATTAAATAGTATTGAACACGTTACAAGCCTATGGCGTTCGAGACATTTATAGAGTTTAATTACATCTCAGTAACAGTATTTTACTCGGATCTGGTCATTAATGACAAATTATCTCCCGAAAAATAATTGTGCATGTTTTGCGATAAGAAATTCTTTTCGCGATAAGCTACGGTATATTTTATTGATAAAAAATATTTATTCGCCTTAAAAATCGACTCTAAAACATCCCAAAAGAATCAAAGTGTAAAATAAACTTGTACAATTAAAAGGATTGCAAAACAACTAACTTAATTTTTCTGGCTTAGTTGAAACAGCGTATATATTTTTTAAGTATATTATTTTTCTATTGGAAATAATTAATAATAATGATTTAGGGTTCATTGAATTGAATCTGTATCAATATAAAGAAAGTTTGGTTTGATTAAATAAAAACATCTTTTTTTGTTCAACGTTGTAGTTTTGATTTGAATAGTAAACTTTTCACTATTGAATTTATTGAATACACTATGATAATAATTAAGGTTTTTAAGCTTTCGAATAGATAATAAGCGATTAAGGTAATACTTATTTGACTAACGGCAGATGTTGGTTATAAATATTATGAAAGGGAAAATACAATTTTACACGCAATCAACTACAATAATATGTATCATGTATCATGATATTAAAAAGTTTTTTTAATACGTTTGATCAAATCGTTTATTTGTCTAAGCATTCGTCGAATATTGTTATATTTGATGAAATTACATTATTTTTAAATCGCATTAGTAGATAATAATTTACTTTTATTACTTGTTAAAACTATAATTAATAAATCCTTGGGAAAAGTGTATCGCGTAGAATTTCAATGAGAATTTATTATCATCGGTTGATCTTGTTTATAGTTCCACAAAAAACAGATCTCTATAAACAATGTATTAAAAAAAACTACTATAGATTGTTGCGTGACTTGACAGTTGTTGCGCATGTTGTTTAATTATTAATGTTAAGCGTGAACGACATTAACTCTTGTTAAAAAATGTTGAGGGCGATTGATTTGGATTCACAAGATTATTATTTTTTATCATTGAATAAATATGAACAAATGTTAACGCGTTAGTCGTATTAGACGTTAGATGGTTTATGCTAATAAATTATTAACTATGCGCATTTTATACTGCTAAAATATGCTTAGTCAAGGAACTAGAATACGATTCGTCGTTTATATTACACTGTACAAAACCGTCTCGGTGCACATAATTTATATAATAGATTGTAAAATAATTTCGCATTAATGTAAACAATTATATAGTTGTACAAATAAATTGATAAACAAACAGAAGAAAACGATTTTTCTTTTTTTTTTGTCACGAGATGTTGTTAAATTATTTTGGGCAGAACGGTCTTAGTGACGTCATGAAATGGATGTTGCAGTGAATACAAAATATTGATTCGTTTAGGGTCGTTGTTCAATTGGCCGGTCTAAGGGCAACCACATTCGTCGATGACCATTTTGGGCAGATCCCTTTTGATTATGTTACCGTCGTCTGTGAAGTATATGAGTGACATCGAGGAAAACTTGACGGGTGCGCAGCACGGCTGGAAAATGGACGAGTGCTTTGCTTTTCTATAGTCCTCGATGGCTTGCGTGTAAAAGTTCAAATACGTATCTGGCGTCCTGTGCACGCCACCGCAGTCACCCCTGCAATAGTTGGCGTAGTATCCTCCGGGCGCGATTATCCACGAGTCCCAACCGATGTCTTGAAACTTTATGTAAAACCTTTGCTTGCAACATTGTCCACGTACTGCTAGCGAACAATCCAACGCCCTGCGTCGGACCCTCCTGGTAACCGTAGGGTCCGTGTACACCATTAGAAACGGGTTTTCCCATTCATTGGCCTGCCTGGTGTCGTGGAACAGTACGGGTGAAACTAGACCGCCGCATCCGGAACAGTCGATATGAAAGCGCAGTCGATGCTTGCCGCTCGTTCCGTACCATTCTTGCACCGTGTTGGTCACGTCTACCGATATCCATCCCAAGTTATTCAGCGACAGCGATAGCGACGACGCCAGGGTGGCGTGTTCATCGAATTCCTAGACGCCAACAATCAACATTAAGTAAAACTTACTTGGCACGTCACGTCGCGTGTTCGACGTTTGCCGACATGGAAACGACTTTCGTAACACAAGTCTGTGATTAATATTTTTTCTAGACACTAGGGACGTTTTTTTAAAACAAAAATTTGTTGAACACAATTAACTCGTTAAGGTAGATGAAGATATTAATATTTGAATTATTAAAAATGTGCTCAATAATCGTTTCCAATTTTGTACAAACTACAAACACGCAAATTGATAAATAAATTAATAATTCATAACAGTTCTATCATACAAGTATATTTTGCCCAGAAAAGGATCCAACAATTTAATTAAATGATTTTATAAAAATAAAAGAATGACCATAATACAGTAAATATACTATAAAATTAAGAGAAAGAATTACTGAATCGATCGAAAAAAAAACAATAAGAAAGGATTTACAAATCAAGAAAAAATTGTAGAGATAAACTTTCACATTTATAGAAAGAGGTTTGAGCTCCATTTAAGTATCTATATGAACATTAATTTACATGTGAAATCATTATGTTGGCGTTTGATATATCAAACATAGAAGTAATAATTGTACTTGTTTACCAAGCATTCGAAACATACCTTACCACTTAGGAACGTGGTATTTCGTAATGGGTTCGCACGGAAGTTAATTTTAAAGAGCCACAGAGTTACATTGTGACTATGATGTGATCTTCGAGCGACTGGTGGTACGTCCGGTCTGTATTCTAATCTAAACCATAGTTTTGCGGACTTGACTTTTACTGAGTCTGAACTTCCCATGTCCTGCGACCACGGAAATTCTAACAATGTTTGTCCGTTCAACGTCGATCCTGGAAGAAAAAATTAATTGTACATTTATTTCATACATTTCATAAATGAACTTTTATTTGAGTGTTTCGTTTTCATTTGTCGATGATTATAGTAACATAATTGCAAGATCAAATTCTGCTCAAATCTAAGAAAGTATATTAGTTAAACAGAGACGAACGTACATATATTATTCATAATTGAGTTTAGCAATAGTACTTTTAAATAAAACATATCTAACGACTGTTTTATCGGCATAGATATTGAAGTACATAAACATTAACAATAATTGTTACGAGAATTGTGAATTTCTAAGCAATCATTCATTGTAGCGTGTAAACAAAATAAATTGTCGTAGCTATAATAATATTAACAATTATATAGTGATTTCAAATTAAACATATGACCTCATAATGTTTTGATATAACTTTACTACATTTATATGTTTAAATACAAGTAACGCGTTAAACATTTACATTTTTTTAAAAGACTTATAAATTTTTAATGGATACCTACATTAACCCGTCGTCACGCACTAACGTAATAGCTTAAACGTCTAGACGCCAAAAAATAAAACACTTGGTAATACTATAGACGAGATATGCCTTTACTAAAGTTTTAAAAATCAGATATTGCAATAATTCCAATCCAATATACCCAAGGCGAATCTTAGACGGATACACAACAGTATGAACTATAGTCGTGCAAAAACTTTAAGCATTAGTATAATGCCCTTTGAATACATATATACATAATGTGATAGCGAATCATGCAGTTATCCAATAAAAATATAATTTTTTTTTTGTTTTGGAAAGTTATTTTAATTCGCACGTTATTATGGGTTGACATGATTTTGGTGATATATTTATACGTATTGAGAATTCATTGTACAATTTTGGTAAACACCATTTCTGTATTCATAAAACTTGTTCATAAATTGTCAAATATTTATGTACGTTTTTGATAAAAAGAAAACAACAAATTTAAAAAGAAACTTAGTACAATTTGATTGAAATGGATCATTGTAAATTTAAAAGCCCAACACAGTGAAATCGCGGTAGAGTTGGGTCAATTATAAGATATCCTACGGGAACACGAAGTATAAAAAACCCACTATAGAACTTAATTGAAAATAAATTATTCTTTTAGAAAAAATTGAGTTTTTCTTTTTGTTGAGACCACCTTAAATCTTTTTTAGAAATTGAAAACTTTGGCTTTAAAGTCAAATAACTCATAAAAAAAATATCGCAGGGGCATTTTTATTTTTTTAATCAAAAAATACTCTTAAAAATCTCTAGTTTGGTGTAGTATAAATGTCTACCAAAATTTCTGTCCAATGTCTCGGTTTAAATAACCTCACGTATGCCAAACAAACGCAAAAATAAAATAAAAAATTATTACGTTTAAGCTATTTCAATGGTCTCGACTAATTTGATAGAGCTAAATTGTGTATTCTTATTTCGAATCGTTTATGTACACCATGTTTTGGCGATCTGACGCTGAATAATTATGTACGAGAATCGAGTTCATTGCGGGCTAATGCGTGGCGTCTGTGAAGTTTTTATTGCTCGCCGTCCTCTCTAGCTTATAATATAGTAAGATTTAAGTTCCGAATTAATTCGCACGCATAATAAAACAGTTAAAGCTACTGCTTGCTCAGTTAACCGTCGTAACATTCACCACACCCACGCATAACTTTCCTTCTACACTTGAACGCATTGCGTTTCTATTTTATTTCACAGATTAGATCAGGTAACCGACTTTAAAGTCGTTTGATCTCCAACAGAGTTCCGTAATCTGTTTGTCACCACACTTTATACTATCGAACACTTCAGATTAGAATTTCATAGTTCACGGTCAAGATACGTGAGCACATACAACCTGTTTAAAAGTATAACATTCATACCTTGAATAAACCGAAATTTTATTGTCAAAGGACATATATTTTTACTCGACATTTTCGTTTAGTCTACATGGGTTAAAGAAATTTTTTAGATGGGTACGACAATTTACGCTTAAAATATACATTTTGCTTTTCATTCGTGTAAAATCAAGGTTTCATTTATAATTTTTATCGCGCAGTTAATAACCTGATGAGGTCGTGACACCTGACCTATGACGACAACAATTATTCTTAGGCTATTATATTATATGAGTTCACAATAATGTTGTTCGATATTAAAGTTATTTTTAGCGACCTCCGGCAGTGAAGTCGGATAATTGCATTGTTCGAGAACGCCAACAAAAACGATTTTTAACGACTTCATACTGATTATTGAATGATTTAGGTATTTATCAATGTGATTGTTATTTTCATAACACGGAGAAGAGTCGCTCAAGTCATAAACACGGCGTTTTGGTTATGCAAAAGCACATCGTGATTGCGTAGATGTACCCCAGCACCGTATGAAATGCGCAGGTCGGAGTGGCGGCCGATGTAACAACGTAAAAACTAATATCCATTAAATGTGCCGAGGTCGGGTTCATGGCTTTGTGGGGAATTCGTCACGTATACCAAAAAAAGGGTCGTTTGTTCAAACGCAAACATAATAGCGAAAACAATATGGTCGCGCCTGAAGACGTTACAGTGACAACAAAAGTAAATTGTTTAGGCTTTTTAATGTAATAGGTGTTACAATAAATTTATTGTTGGCCTTGTTGTGCTAACCCATACACGTTTTGGGTAATTTACAAGAAGTGCATTGGATGCACCCTTTTATTTCCCCGCGTGCGCGCGCCGAATACATTACGTTCATACTCACGTCTGTGTGCCGCCTTTGTGTTTTTCTCAAAGGGTTTCTTGGTAGAGCAATATTAACAACCATAGGATAGCCAGTAAAGGGGAGACGACCAGTATGGCATTACATTAAAAAACCGCCACCGTCTATTGTCGAGGGACCTACTAGATAGGTGCGCGAGATATTGTCGCTCAACCCTTTTACAGGGGTACAATGGGGAGGCAAAGAGAACGTACGGCTTAACGCTCCGGATAATATAATAAACAGTGACCGTTTGCCACGGCGGCAACAATAACGGCCCGTGTAATAAAATAAAAACAAAAAACTTCCCCTCTGGCATGACGTCTGTTTGGGTGACATGGCGGTTTTTATTACTCGTGCAAACACGTACTGAGTCATTATAATTTTTGGCGTATGCAGTTGATTTTTGTAACCCCCTTTCGTAACACGATGTCCGCACTCTCCCCTCGGCAGTACGTCTGGTATGAATTTTATTATACACCTTAAAATTGCATCCGAAAACAATAGATTATCGTTGCTATTTAAGTGCTGTTTATACAATATGCGACAGATCTGTAGCCGGACGTATTACTGGCGTTACGATAAGAACGATAAATTGTGCAGAAAGACTATCAATATCACAGACGCAGGGATAATGTGTTTTTTTATTTTTCGCTTCGCGTCATTATAATAGAAGTGATTTTATTTTTATGTTCATACACACACAATATTGTAGTGCAACGTTAACAGAACGATTTGCTTTGTGATTTATTCGCTGCGTTTGGTCAATAAATTTGCGGTTGTGTGTCGTCCACGAGGACACACAACTGAACGGATTTTACTCGACTATCAATTAGATTGGCGATTTATACTTTTATCATATAAAATCATTGTCGTTACAAAAACGTTTTTATGTCATTTTAAATTCAACTACATGCAGTTTTTCCTATCGTTTTTTATCCGTCTCGATCTTTGATGTTTTGGTTTTCATTGATTTTATTTGATCTGAAATTAAAGTTTACTGGTGTTTACGAAAAATAATTATATCAGATCAAGTAACTACTCAACAAATATCAGAATAGAATGAAAAAATAGACGAAAAAAAGAAAATTGAAATTCTCAAAGTAAAAAAATTGTGTTATTACACACACATTCTGTGAAATCAATTAATTCTTTTATAGACTAATAAATTAATACAGCAATTACCAATCAATTATCGAGCTAATAAGGTTAGAATACTAGTATATATAGAAAATCAGATAATTAACTTTACTAGTTGTTTTTCAAACAACGATGACGTCTGTTTCTTTAGTTATCAGAGTGAAAAAACAGGATATAATTATAATGTCAAATATTTATAACATCAATTTCAGCAACGACGTATTGAATTTCATGTAATACATGCGATCATAATTCACTGAGACAACCACTTCAATTAAAACGTTGTGAATGACTGCGTATGAGTCTAAAAATAACCGTTAACGACAATAGCTAAATTACATATTTGGCTTTTTATTGCCGTGTTGTAATAATAATTATGATGGTAATGCATGTTTTATTTTAGATTTTAAAATAAACTATGTACATCAAAACTGCTCAACGTCAACATTTAATGTCCAGCAAACTCCGTCTACGAGATCCCACCGAAAAAAAATGTGTTGTTTCAATCGGTTTGAAATTAAATAACAACGTTTTGGCAGTACGAATTTTGTTAGGAAATCAATCTATTAAAACGAATGTCCGATTAATTTTAATAATGAATATTATAATTAAGAAAAGCATTGTTGATTAATTCTATTTTCCGTTTATAAATTAATGAGAATAATTGTGAAATTTCAAAAGAAATTTTGTAAAATTCTAAAACTACATTAGATAAATTAAATAATTCAATATAATTTCACTAGACGTACGGTAATATCAACTAAACAGAATACCAAGGTCAATAATACTTTTTAGAATCGCAGTTGTGTTAAAATTTATTTCAAAGCTGACAGTTTTCGATTTTCCCGGAGAGTGCTTTGAGCCATTACAATACTTATGTATTAGTACTGCAGTCGTTCAACTAGATCGGTAACAGAGAGTTCGTATTTGATGGAATGCCGTCAGTAAAATACAAATAAATAAATAGTTAATAATTTGAAAAACACATATTTTGATATTTTAGTTGAAATATAACAGCGTATACAGTTGATCACTGTCAAATAAATTTTTTAAAGCATGCCGAAAGTTTATTACAATCGACTATGGTTAACACAAATAGTGTTAAAAATGGATTCGTTCGATTA